CTTGAACGTATTTTTCCAACATTTCCTTGCACCAATCGACACGAGCCTTTTTTTGAGCGTTTGTCAGATTATGCGGGATCCAACGCGAACAAATTTTTTTTACGCTCAAATGTTCATGCAATATTTTATTGATGCTAGTCATACTAATGTCCAAAGACGCCTCTATCTCACGGTATGTCACATGACGATCTTGCTTTATCAGTTCACGCACAGCATCGATCTTTTCTGGCACAACAACGGATTTTGGACGACCTGCACGGGATTCGTCCTGGATCGAACATCGACCACGATTAAATTCGTTATACCAATTTTTTACAGTGCTGTAGGATGGCGCTTTATCGCTGAATAAAGAATTAAGTTCATCGAAGCACTCTTGTCTTGACAATCCACGTCGAAAGTTATGAAAAATAATGGCACGAAAATGTTCACGATTCAATTCCATTTTTTGAAAGAGAAGAACTTTTCAATTTACTGTCAACAACGCAAATAAAGCTATAATGGTAAATCGTCTGCTGAATTAATGTTTAAAAATATCTAACTCTCGATTAAAATCGTCTGCGGTCGCCTAGAAACACTTACTGTTGCCAAGGCCAGAAATATAAATAGCAACCCTCGTATTCGGTATTTTATTGTCCGCTGAGGATGGTTTAGGAGAAACATCAAATCTCGGAGTACTGGTTAAATGCATACTGGACAGTGACATCAAATCAAGTAGGAGCTTAGATTAACATCATAAGATTTTGATATTCAAAAAAACAGATATTGATTTTCGATCTCTATTGAGAAAGCTTTGAATCTATTTCTTGCAAGAATTCTAAAAATATAAATTATGAGTGGCCGTCGTGGAATATCTTAAACATAAATAGAACTTTTTCAAACCATGAACCATAAGATTCAAATATATAAAAAATGACTTGTTTTTTCTTTTGATGGAAAAACAATTTCTATTATAATAAAGTTAATACTTAAATGGCGAAAGCATTTTTAGGGAAGATAAAATAATATACGTTCCATCGTAAAATATTACTCACTTTAAAAAACAAGATTATTAAAACAAAGTGCTTTTTGAGAACAATAATTTAAAATGCTACAAAATGTAGGAATAACTAAGGCCTTGTATGAAACCGAAATTATTAGTATTAATCATTTACCCATTATTAAAATGGTAAAACTAATGTTAGAAAAGAATGCTATATAGATCATGAAGAATGTTTAATTTCAATGAAAACTGCCCAATATATTTCATTGTTAAATATAATGAATATTTAATTTTCACTTTGTCTAGACTGAGAAGATCCATTATGTTTAAGAATAAAAATGTTACCAGTTTAAATGCCACCAATTTTTTGTGATCACTTTCAGGAAGAAAAAATAATTTAAGTGTCAAGCAGAGAAGTACTTCCAAAATGATTTCTTAAAGAAATAAGAAATAAAGTTAAAATAACGTAGAAAATCTATGATCATAAATAGCAGAAAATTGCTGTTATCTATATTACTCAATAAATAAGATAGTAAGTTCTTATCTAATGCGTGTTTTAAGTCAATTTTACTCAAGCTAAAACATCTCTAGTTTGAAAAAAAAATTTAAGATATTATTTTATGTATTTCATAAATATCCAATATTGTATCCAAGAGTTTTGGTCCAAGAGTTTTAATACAGATATTCAAGCATTGTAGATTCATATTTTTCATTCGTTTCTGGCTCTTCAAAGACAAGAAATATTCATTTGTTGGTTTTTTTCCCAATAGTTTCGATGAAATAATGAGTCCAGTTGTATTCGTAACTGCTATCTTATTTCTCGGTTTTCAGGAAGATTAATTGTTATCTTTAGAAAGTAGTTTCTTTGGAAAGTATTTTCTGAAGAAGAGAACAATAGGATTCCTAGTAATATATTTATTCCAACAGAATTCTAATTTGCATTCGACGATACAATATAGTATAGTTACTTAAAATATATTTAAATGTTACTTAAAAATTGTTGATAATTTCCATAAGGATAATCAATTTAAGCTTTCTTGTAAGGAAATCCCAGAGAATTTAAATTATTTTGCATAAAATTCGTGTTGTTCAAAATCTGCTAAATGTGTGTGTCTTAGAATGTTATTGTGTTTTTAAGTTAAAGGTTTTCAACAAATACAGTAGCTTGAAAACATAAGAATTAAATATTAACACTGCAACAATCAAACATTTATGACTCGTACTTTTCATTCCTTACAGGAACTTCATAGAAAGGAAATATTCCTTTTTCGGTTCTTTTCAAGAGATTTCGATGAAATAATGATCCAGGGATGTTATCTTATTTCTCGGTTTCAAGAAATTTCGATTAAGCGTAATCTTAGAAAAGTAGTTTCTTACTAAGAGAATTACATAAATATAATTATTTAAATAGAGTTCTAATTTGCATTTGACTTCGTATTTTCTTAAAATAAATTTTAATGTTAATATTTAAAAATTGTTGCTGATTTCCAAAATGATAACCAATTTTTTGCTTTTTTGTAAGGAAGTTCCAGACAACTCAAATTATTTTGTATCAAATTCGTGTTGCAAAAAAACTGTTAAATGTGTGTGTCCTAGAATGTTATTTTTTTTTTAAGTTCAAGTCTTTCAACAAATACAGTAGTTTGAAAAAATAAGAATTGAATATTGGAACTGCAATAGTGAAAAGTATGAATAACGAATTTTTGATTCATACTTTTCATTCATTACTTCAGAGAAAGGAAATATTCATTTTTCGGTACTTTTCAATTATATTCATACATATTCAATACATTCATTTATATATTCAATCTATCCATTATTTCATTTCTATGAAATAATGATCACAGAGATTGTTACATATTATTATTTTATTACTCGGTTTCCAGAAATTTAAAAGATTAAGTGTTATCTTAAGAAAATAGTTTCTGAATAAGAGAATTCCTATAAAAATATTTCTTCAGTAACATTCTAATTTGCTTTTGATTTTGTAGTTTTTTTAAAAATATATTGATACTGTGAATGTTTTACTGAAATTGCTGTTTGCTTCCATAATGACAACCAATTTATGCTTTTTGTAAGAAAATTCCAGGCAACTAAAAATATTGTTTATCATAAAATCATGTTGTTGAAAACGTGTTAGATATGTTTTTACTCAGGATGCAATGTTTCATGATCCCAAAAAAAAAACTGATCGTAATCGTAAATCGTACAAATAATTATTATTTGTTTCTTTGTTAACGTCTTCAAGAAACTAAAGTAGTAATGAAAAATAAGAATTAAATTTTAATAAAATCAATTCGATTTATTTCTGTTTCATGAAGGAACAGACTTAGGATTAAAACCCAAAGCCACCCGTGCGTTATGGGTTCATTACTGTAAACAGGCATCTCTCTAAGACTATTTTACCACTCCGTATTTAATTTTTTTTTTCTTGGCGTCTATTATTAGATGTTATGCTTTTTCTTCTTCAGGATTTCTTGACCAACCCAGCCACTTTATTTCCTGTACAGTCATAATAATCAGTATTCGTCATCCTCACACAGCAAATTTTTCAATATTCCACTTATGAGAAAGGCACGATCACTCCATGTTCCAATTCTTAAATCCATATTCATGCCAGGTCACCTGGATCGAATCCATTTGGTTTTTACTTTTTAAGATTTCATATTTCAATTTTGTTACTGCTCAAAAAAATAACGTCAGGGGAATTCTTTACAACCACAAAAATTACTTAGCAACCAGGTGTAATAAAAGTCATCAATTCGAAGCGAATAAGTTATCTCCGCTACTTTTACGGATAGAAGGTAGCAAAACCACTAAGCTGTTAAACTTTAACAGGCCAAATGGTCTTATGAAACGGAGAATAGCTTTCAGATAGTTTCATAATGTCATTAAAGGTTTGAAAACATTGAAGCAGGTCTTCTCTCGGCTTTTGAGCAAGGAAGAAGACATGCATTTGACATGCAGACATTTAATAGACTCTGGTTGAAAAAAAAAACTTGCTTTAAGAGCCCTAGTATTTTCCCATCTGGAATGTAACGCCAAAATTTTTCCCATTATATATTGTTGAAGAAAGACAAGCACAGTACATCGTAAAATTTGATGGCAAATGGTATTCTCGATTGTCTCACCAAGTTCTTCAAAGTATTTTAATTGCATCTAATATAATATTATGTATTATATTAGATGCAATTGCCAGCAAATATATAAACGCTGAAATACCCTCAGCAAAACGCATTCGATAAAAAGTCTAGAAATACATGTTAAAGATGCAATAAATCATATCACAATTTGAGCTCTTAACATTCCATTCAGGGTGTGTGGATGAACCATAAAATTCGAAGTAGTAAACCACTTTTTTTGCAGATTTGAATTCTACAGAATAAAGTACCCGATTTTGATTTGAAATTTAAGGCCATTAGGCATTTTATTTTCAGAAAATCAAATGCGACTATTCTTTCTTCTCGATCCGGAATGAAGCTCTTGAAATATTTTCATATCAAGCAATTTATAGCCCAATTTTCATTTTGAGATTGCAGAGGCAAGTTGTTAACAGAAACACTAATATATGTTGCTTGAATTTTGATAATTTTTCTAGAAAGTTTAATTATGAGTTAAAGAAAAGTCTATTTAAGATTTTGAATGTCTCCACTGCCCTACCATCTAGGATGTGAGATTAGGATTGTGGAATTTCGGTTTAGTCGAAACGAGAAACTATACACGAATAAGTACCTTTTTTTCCATTAATTTAGCATTTTCATCTTCTTCTTCTTCATTGGTGCGCCAGCCCAGGGTAGGTCCCACGAGTGTCTTCAGATTTTTGATCAGAGGCATGATTTTTTTTAAAATCTAAGAGGCGTTAAGAAGCGTAAAACTTATTTGCGGATACCTTTTACATAGCTAACTGGTTTAAGTTATTTTCATAAAATGCGATCATAAAATACTTAAATACATTACATAATAATTAAATGTGCAAATTTTTTTAGCATTTTTACATGAAAAAAATCTTTTTTCTTTGCAGGTACATTGCTGTAACGCAACCAATCAAGTATTCGAAGCATAAAAATACGAGCAGAGTTCTTTTGACAATTGCTGGTGTTTGGTTAATTTCAGCAGGTATTGGATCTCCAATTGTGCTTGGTTTAAACACATCTCCCGAAAGAACACCGGAGCTTTGTATTTTTTATAGCTCAGATTTCATCATCCTTTCTTCCATTGGCTCATTTTATATACCATGTTTCATCATGATATTTCTATATTATAAAATTTTTAAGGTATGATTTTTTTTTTAATTTTGTTCTTGCAAAAGGTACTTCTTAATTTAAAAACCATGTGATCCGTATGATTTTCCTCCCTTTTTTCATAATTTTCTTACATTAAAAATTATTTTATTTAAAATTGGATTGGAAAATTTAAACATATAAAGCAAACGAGTTATACAGTGAGCAAAAAAATAAAACGGTCCACCCTGAATAACTTCTGATCAAATAATAAGATCTTCATGTTCGAGGATCCAATCTTAATAGTTTAAGAGGGTGACCTAAAATATGCTAATTTATTAACCCAGAAGATAATTTAAGTTACAAAATCAGACACAAATACTTATTTTCTCTGAATAAACATACCTTTTTTTACGACGGATGAGGATTTTATTTGACCCTCAAAATATCGGAAGAAGCCGCAATCTGAGAAATATTGTCCAAATAGTTTGGTCAGGAGAGCGATCCAAAGCTATGTCCCCTTAATAGTAAGTTTTCTTTGTGCGTATTTTGCCATATTTCGAGAGACTTATAAGAAGAATTGAAAAAATTTTGCACACTAATATTTTTTTTTTAATTTAATAATAATCGAAGAAATTTTAAATTGTAAGGTATGCACTTTTTCACATCATTTTAAAGAAATAAACTTTGCATGGCAAAATAAAAAAAATTGAATGAAATTGGTCGAATAGTTCCAGAAGTCGTATTTCCAGAAATTGTAAGAAAAAAGAAGTCAGAAAATGTACCTTTTTGTGTCTGGCTTTGAAACTTAAGACATCGTCTGTGCTAATTAATTAGCGTGTTTGAGGTCACCCCCTTTAACCATATAGATCGAGTCCTAGAGCGTAAGGATCCAATCATTAGATTAAAAGTTATTCAGAATGGTCCATTTATTTTTGCGCGCTGTACCCCAAGCTTTAAAGATGGCATGCTTTCCCCAAACTATAACTTAGTATTATTTCTCGATAGAAATATTACAAATTTCCAAAATTTACACAAGATTTTAGAACAATACCCTGATATATAGTATATATCTATTTTGTTGTTTTTCATGTGAAAAATGTTATCAAAGAAGATTTCTACTAAACGTTATGAAAAACAATACTCATTATCAAACGTTGTTCCATGCTCTTCAAATAAAAATTATTTAACGTGGGAGTATTTAAGCAAAATTGTCAGAAAGATACTTTATTGAATTGCTGACTTTAGCAAATCAGCAAAAATAGTTGTATGTAAAAATATAGGGGTTTCACATGAATCAAACTTAAAAATTAAATTTATTTAATGGTTGCATAAAAATTTAAAGACTTTGATAAACATAAATTTTCTTTGTCTTAAGTGTATCTTAAAAATTATTAATCAAATTTTTTTTCTAGATTTTAAGTTAATCATTACAAATAAATTTAATGAAATAAAATACATTTCAGTTACAATAACATTCAAATACAGCGACTCAATCATTCATACTTAAGTACATTAATATTTATTTATCATTTCTTATGTCATGCTCAAACAAAGGAGATCATGTACTTCATAGTTATGTAATTTCTAAACTACAGAGTGCTTATTAGTTGCTGTTAAGTAGAACCACTTTTCTAACACTGTCAAAGTACTTCACGTGCTGAGATCACTTCTCAGTCTTAAGTACATTTTTCTATCCGTTAACTGTGACATTAACACGATTATGATACCAGTTTTCGAAAGTCATTTGGAAACTGAATTAGCACCATCTAATCAATCATTTTTTATTTTGTTCATTTGTTAACTATTATGGATAATCTTTGATCTGAAGCAATCTAAGTGATTTCGTGCCTTAACTTTTCTTTCTTTCGATTTCAACTTCACAATATGCCAATGAATAATAAAATAAAGTTGATATAAATTCTTTTGTATTCAAAGTCAAGTATAAACTTGTATTATTTATTTAATAAGTAATGAATTTTCCTTGATTAAAAAAACTGAAAATTGGCATCAATTTCAGAATAGTTATGTAATTAAAAAATATTTAAAATGGACGAAATAGCTTTTGCAGTGGTTTAAGAATCTTACATACATTTTCAGCAAATTTTTAGTTGAGTAACATAATTTAGTTTTCTTTTCAAAATTCCTTAAAAGTTAAACTTTTAATGAAATGACTAAGCAAGTTGGAAAAAAAAAACAATTTTAGAGCTTAATGCTATTTTAAGTGACATTTTAAAAATCGTTCGTTTTCTGATTTTAATAAATGATGTGGTTAATCATGAATACATTGGTTGTCTTTAAATAATGTGGTTTACAATGAAAATATATGAGTTTTTTATAAACTGATAAGCTGGTATTTATATTTTTCCCAAACCGAATTTCTTTTATTCTACCTAAAAGATCATTTATTATAGTTTCTCGACATAGTTTAAATTTTTCAAAATTCTCTTAAAATGCTCTTAAAATTAAACGTGCATATATAAACTCACATTACTTTTGAAAATTATAATAATAACGATGCAGTCAGTTATTAGGAAAGACAACCTTCAGATAAATAAAAGGAATAAAAAAGATTAAAATTAAATATTAGCCTACGTAAAGACTAATAATAAATAGAGTATATATTAACTGCAATTTTTAATGTAATCGTATTTATTTTAGAAAAGATGATAATAACCCAGTTTATATTTAAAAGCTGGTTCAGAATCACTTAAACGAAAACTAAACACATTCCAGGCAAGTATAACATTAAGATTAAATTACATAAGTAAGAAGATCTTTTACGAGTTGAACAAACTATTTGACGCTTTCTAATCTCGCAATTTCAAATAGAAAACATTTATCTTTTAATTAAACATTCATCTGGGTAGCATTTAATGTTTCGATATATTAACGATGTCGTTTTATTTAAAATATTAAGTTGCATTTATCAATGTGCGCATTCTTTATATCTCTTTTTTATGAGTGGTGATAAAAGTGGTGATAAAAGTGGAAAACAACACTGGGGAACGAATTTTTTTTTGCATTTATAGAAATTTTTGATCTCGACTAATGCGAGAGTGTTGATTTCAAATCAGAAATTAGTTTTGTCCTAAAGCTACATATTCTTTTTTAAAATGACTTATTTAGTCTATTTTTGTCGAAATGCAGAAGTTTAAAAACGTTATGTATAACAGAGAGTCGCATAAATGTTGCGATAAACTTCCATAAGAGTTAAGGAACATGATCAGGATTAAAATTGAGGTATTTGGCTCGTGGCTCTTTCCTATTATAACCTGTTCAGAAACACATGAAGAAACAGTTTGTTATGGAGAAGCGTCCCTATAGGCGTATGACGACTTTTTCGAGCATTGGTTCTTATGCAGTTTTAATTGTAATTATATGCCCTAAAACCCCTGGAAGTTTGATGCAACATCTACTTGACTCCCTGTTATATATAGCGTTTTAAATCTCTTACGTTTCAACAAAAAATAGATTAAAAATGTCATTGAAAAAACTGTATCTTTTGGTGAGAAATGATTGCGTGTTTGATATCAACGATACAAAAAATATCTAAGACCTGTAAAATCTCATGCAACAGAAAAAGGAAATAGATCCGCAGTGTAGTATTAAAGGAACTCTTGAATTGAATAACTTTTCTTGAATAAATGCAATTTTAAACTGAACAGTAGTTTCAATTAAAATTACAAATGCTTTTTTTCCCCTCATATTTCAGGCTATACACGCGAGGGCGAAGAAAAACAAACTAAGGCAAACGAATTCTGAGTCCGGTGGAGCCAGGAGTAACGAAAGTGCAAGTTTGACAAACGATCCACCGGCAACCATCTCCAAACGTCAGGAAGGAGAGAATCAGGTGACAACATGTCTTCAAGTCGTCATAGAAAAAGATGGCTTCACTACAAACACGGGCAGTGGCAGCCAAGATGATGAATACGATGAGGACACAATTGGTGAGGACAATTTTCGGCACGAAGCCGCTGTCAAGGGTGCATCTGCCATGTTGCTAAGTGCTTTTATGACAGAAACAATCAGGATTGAGATTCCCATTAATGGAAACACCGATTCTGGTTACGGGACTTCTCATGTCGAGCATGAGACACAGTTCGCTTCGATGGTGGAACATGATTCACCGAACCATGACGGAAAGGGGGGATACCAAACGAAAAAATTCGGACAGCAGAAAAAAAATGGTGTCTCCAAGAGAAACGAAGGTAGTGACATTTCCGGTGGGATAAGGAAGAAGTCTAGATTTAATTTAGGCAGAAGACACAAGAGTAGCAGGAAAAAAAGGGAAAAAGCTTCTGCTAAGAGAGAAAGGAAAGCGACTAAGACACTGGCGATCGTATTGGGTGAGTAGAGATATTTCAATTGATATCTGGGTGTTTTCAATCTGTTCTTTTAGGTTTATGATATTTCTGTATTCAATTTGAAATAGACAAGATTTTTTTAAAAAAAATATTCCTCAAATGGTTTTATAACTTGTTTTGAAAAGAAAAAATTTATAGAATCTCATCAGGTGAACGAAATTTTGTCCCATTTATACAAATACTCGATCTTGCTTTATTCGGGTGTGGGGATTTCAAATCTGAAATTTTGTTTTTCTTCTTGAAAGTATAGATTTTTGAAGGAAATTGTTAGCTTATATTTTGCAGCAATGTACAAGTTTAGAAACATTATTTGTACCAGAACGGCTCGTAAGCGTTGCGATATACTTCTAGAGGAGTTAGGGTACATCATCAGGTACATCATCAGGTACATCATCAGGCAGGAGTAAATCTCCGATACTATATGTTCAAAAGCACATGAAGAAAGAGTTCATAGTAGGGGAAGCATCCCTAGCCGAGTATGACGACATTGCGGTCATGGTTTAGTACCCTTTTTAATCCTAATAGTGCATCCTAACTAGTTCATTTTAACTAAAAATAAGTTAAATACCTCATTTATAAAAAACTATCTTAAACAGAGATACCAATAGCCGATTTGTCGTGCATTTAAAATTTGTCTATTTAAAATTCGATTAAAAATTATATAATCGAATTAGTATTTGAAAGATGTTTAAAATTGATGTTTAAAATTTAATTTCCCAGGAGCTATTCCACCGATTCTACTCACAATTTATATTTTGCCATGTAAAATTACATACTTTAAAATTGCGTAAATATTGCATACTTTACAATTCAAAATTATCGAGTATTATTAAATAAAATAAAAATAATAAATATTTATTAAATGAATTCACTTTAAATTTCTTAATTCGCTTACTCGCTTATTCGATTAATTCGCTTACAAATTTCTCGAGACATGGCGCAATGCGCAAAAATTAAAATTAACCTTAAGGGGTTCAAACTTTGGATTGCTCTCCTGACCAAACTATAGAGACCATATTTCTCAGATTGGGGCTGCGTCCTATATTTTAAGGGTCAGAAATTCGAATCCGTTAAAAAAAGGCATTTTTATTCGGAGAAAGCACGTTTTGATTTAATAACATGAAGTATCATCGTCACTTATTAATTAGCATATTTGAGATCACCTCCTCAAACTTTTAAGATTGAGTCCTAGAACAGGAAGATCCGACGATTAGATCAAAAAGTTATTGCGTTTGGTTCATTTTTTATTTTGTGTGCTGTAAAACATTTCAGGCATAGGTTCCTATGCTGATGATGTGCCTTAACTCCCCTAGAAGCTTGTCACAACATTTGTGCGACCCCTTGTTATATGTATGTAACGTTTTTAAGTTTGTACATTTCGACAAAAATAGACTAAAAATATAATTTTAAAATGTATCAGTAACTTTAGAAGGGAACTTTTTTTTTCAGGCTCAAAATCCGTACTCCCGAACTAAGCAAGATCAGAAATTTACATAAATGAAGCGAAATTTTTTTTCTCGAGGGCTGTAAAACTTTTTTTTTCTTACAATTTGGACGAAAAGCTTATCTAACGATTCCAAATAAATTGAAATAATGCATACCTTATAAAAAATATCAAACTATCTAAGATATTTTAAGAGGTATCAATAAAATCCTCATTCAACCTTTTCAACGGTCTATATATTTTAAGGGACAATCGTCAAAAAATAGCAAAATTATTTCTTTACGACGTTTTTATTGGTTGCGGAAAAAAAATATTTTTCTAAATGATTAATATCTAAAATGGAAATGTTTTTTATATAATATCCAACTGTTTTTATTTTGTCAAAAGAAAGCATCCTTTGGTTCAAAGCATTTGAATCGAAATATTAGTGATATGCAATAATTATTAATCAAACATTAATTATCAAATAAGAAATGCATATCTCACACAAATAATTATTTTAATGCCTGATTAATAATCATTTATTGCTCAATGACGGGCGAAAAAAAGAAGAAAAAAATCCTGATAACTTTTATTCCGTCATTATCTTAACTAAATTAAGCATTTCCTTTTCTTGCAAACAGTTTCTCTTATTCCGAATGTTTGCATAGTTACGATACTTCTTTCCTAAATAGAATTTTATTGCTTTTACCTTGGAATTTCTTAATGTGTTTTTCCGGCCTTTTGTTATAAAAAAAGAAAATGTTTTAGGAAAATAAGCGTATTATAATAGGTTTTTCCTTCGAAACAAATAAGAAGAATTTCCATATAGAGAAGAATTTCATTTCCTAACTCGATACTAATAATTAAATTAATTACAATGGATTTATTGCATTTTGTTATGCTTGAATTGTTAATTCCAGATTTGTTTGAGGAAAAGAATAGATTTGAAATGATGCTTAAACTTTCAACTTAATGCGTTACTTTAAAATTTAAAAGCAATGGAGGTTTTATTTGAGTTTGTTTTGTGCTAAGCTGTGAATAATAAAGCTGTTTACTGTTTATTGAGCTTTGAATGATAATATTGTCTTTGGTTGTTAGGGATTTTCATTTGAATATTTACCAGAATTACAAAACTCTTGATTGTTTATTTAAGAAACAAATAACATTCTCTCAACAATCCAACTTTTAATATATCTAAATTAAAAAAACTTACCCAAAGGAATATAAAGGAAATACCTTCGGAATGCTTATAATTAGAGAATGCTAAATAATACAAAAGGAAACTTAAATTAAGAATTCTCTTTTATTGTATTAAATATAAAGAAAACAATTTAAACAACTGGCTAGGGTTTGAAAATCATTTAAACATAGCTAACTCACACAATAAGTATATGAAGAGAAAAATATATCATGTTTAGAGATGAATTTTAAAGGGAATCGAGCCCACGCAAAAGCTAATTTTCTGCTGTAAAGTTCAAGTGCTTATAAATGCTTAATAAGATTTACAGAAATTCTGTGAGATAACGCTTTTGCAAGTGATATCCCCACTGCGAAAGGCGCCGCTTTTGTTGACAGTTACTAACAAATACTTATTATAATGGAATAAATTATTCAAACATTATAATTTTTACAGTTTGCATTATCAATGTGCATCAAATTCAGCATATGAATGTGAGCATTAAAAAGAATAAATTAGAGTTAATTTATGAAATACAATGAGATACAAGAATTCCCTCGATGAACCTTTAACAGACATTTTGCGAAACATGCACAACAGGCATTTTAAAAATATCTCGAAAAATATCTTTCTTTTTCTAGCCTGGAATGAACATATTTTTACTAATTTGTATCTGTCATATTTAAAGAAGTGGTTTCTTTCCTTTTTACAGTTTAGAATAAACAACTAACCCTTAGAGTAGCTACATGCATTAAAATAACCGGGATTCTCTAAATAACTTTTGATCTGATGATCGGATATAAAAGTCTTAGGACTCCATCATAATAGAGTGTGGTGGGGGTGACATTAAATATGCTAATTAATTTGCGCAGACGATATTTTAAGTTACGAAATTAGACTCAAAAACGTACTTTCTTTGAATGAACATACCCTTTTTTTATGAATTTGGATTTTTGATCCCCAAAATATAGGAGGTAGCCGCAATCTGGGATATATGGTCCCGATAATTGGGTCAGGAGAATGGTCTATAGTTTCGATCCTTAAATATTATTTTAAGGGAGACATTAAAAACATTTCGAATTGAAACATTTTTGTGTGCAATCCTAAAAACTGCATATGTAAAGATAATTGTATTCACGTTATAAGTTTTATTGAATATTTAATATTTTTTATTATTTTATTTAATAATAGTGAAAATTTTAAATTGTAAGGTATACAATTTTTACATCATTTTGTAGAATGCAATTTAAATGGCAAAATACAAAACTTGAGAAAAATTGGTCGAATAGTTCCTGAGAAGTCGATTTATTTTAAAAAGAAAACCTTTCCCCAATTCGTTGAAATCTGTCAAAGAAAAGGTTAGTTTATACATAGAAATTACGTTTTTGATCCTGATTTCGTGACTTACAATATCGTCTGCGCTAATGCACTAACATATTTGAGATTACCCTCTCGAACAATTAAGATTGAGTCCCAGAATGTTCTGATTGTTAGATCAGAAGTTATTCCGGGTGGACCGTTTATTTTTTTGCGCGCTGTACATTGTCAAGAATAAAGTCTTTGAATGAAGTTTTATGATTGTAGCATCCATTCAGTGCCTTGAAAATAAATGACAATATAAAAGAAAAAAAACTGATAAAAGATGAAATGAGATAAAAATATGCAGCTCAAAAGAAATTCACTAAATTTAAAAATTAGTTTTAAGAGTTTGTCAACAGATAGTACAAATGACATGACTAGATAAAAACAGGGGTTGGAAAAAATTATGAAAACACTTTGATACAAACTCAATTTTTCATATTTTTAAGGAAATACTTAGAGAATTATTTTAAAATTTTAGAAGTGTTTAGGTCATGCGATGATTCATACATATCAAAAAAGTTTAAAGCCTTAAAGATTTGAAGTATCGGCAATAACGAAAAAGATTGCTTCCGAACACTGTATGCCGAAAAATATTGCCATCAGCCAGAAAATCGTGAGAAATGTTTTATCATATGCAATAACTGCACAAAAGTTTGTAAATCTAACTTAGATATTCATGGAGTTATCGACAATTTTATAAAAAATAAAAAAAAAAAACTTTTTTTTGCCTTACGTTTACTTAATAGAACTGCAAAAATATTTAATAAAATGAAATAAAATTTTTAGAGCTATTTTCAATTAATAACAGAAACATAATTTAAAGAAAAATAATAAAAACAATTTTTTTGGAGAAAGAGCAAGATATGAAAATTTCAAGTGATCTTGTGCATGCGAGGAAAATATTTAAAAAAATAAACTCATAGTTTTGTTCTGAATCGTAGTTGATAAACCCGATTTAAATATTGTGGAAACAAAAAAAACGCTTTTAGTATAATTTTAAGCCGTTTTTTTGCAAATTTAGAAAGGCAGCTAGGAATGTTAATGGATTTTTCACAAATTTAATTTCGTGCCATTAAACAAGATTGATTTAAAATGATATATTAAAATCATGTATATAAAAACATCCCTTATTAAAGTATGTTTTATTTCACACTTTTTTCTTCTTTAGATCATCCCAATTTGTTGTCTGAAACATTAGAGTAGTAACATTGTAAGCAATTGATTAACAATGTAATAATTAACAAGTAATTAACACAGTAGCGTATAGAAGTTTATAGTAAAGTAGAAAAGTGAGATTGTGGACAACTCCTTATCGCTCAGAGCTTTTCTAAAAATGCCATTTCGGTAATTGCAAGAAGCATTTTAAATTTTTTAGACATTCATATCGGACATTTCGAATAGATTATCAGACATAATTCTGAACAAAATTATGAAAAAAAAGTTTACCACGCATTCGTAGTATTACAGAATTAATTTTAATTCTCACACAATCTCGCACAATTTTCAACGTTTTTTTTAAATGATATTTTTCTTATTAAATAAAAATTACTCTAAAAACTGTGTTTAATTTTATTGAATATTTCTGCAATTATATTAAAAAGACTTTTTTTAATAAAAATATCCAGAATTCCGTGAATATTTAAACTAGATTTACAAAAATGCTGTGCAGTTGCTGCATATGTTAACCAAACAAATTGATCCCAGTTACAAATTTATTGCAATATTTTTGGAACAGGATGTTCGAAAACACTATTGTTTGTTCGTAATTTTTCGCTGTCCCTCTAACCTCTAAAAACTTTAAAGTGACTTAAACTTTATTGATATATAAAGTATTTTTCTACAGTATTTCTTGAGAAATATTATAAAAGTAGTAAGTGTAGAAATGTTTCCATAATTATGTCCAAATCCTGCTATATAAACTATTTTTTTAAAAGCATTTAATTTCAACTTACTTATCAGGCTTATTCAAAAACATGATCTTGGACAAAATTTTCGAAATTGAGTTTATAATAAATTCAAAAGTTCAGTATTCTTAGCTTTCAAAAAATATTTTTTTTTGTTTGTACTCTAATTATTTACAATATTATAGAAGTTTTTGCGGAGGAGGTTTTGTGATGAGTGATTAATGATGAATTAGATTAATAATGAGTGATTAATGATGAATTGTGTTTATTTCAAAAGCAGCTTTTTTTACATTTCATACCACCTCAAACACGATATCTCATGATGTATTTAAATTATTTGTCTGCAATTTTTCATGAGTGTTTATGATTATAACACACGTGTTTTGAAAAAGAGACTAAGAAAAAAAGTAGAATTTAATTTTTTTATGCATGTTTTTTCGCAAAGACAAGTGCGAAAATTTTTAAACATTTCATTTTTAGCTACATTGATCCCTAACTATGAACTATATGCACTTGCTAAGATAATATTTTAAAATGCAGTTGATAGCCTTCTAAATAAAATCCTCAAAGGATTTTTTGTCTTATGGTGATGGAAATGCTTTACTGTTTATGAAAAAAATGCCTTTTTTTAACCTAGAAACTATTTAAAAAATAATAATTATTGTTATTTTTTGCTAGTTTCATAAGCTTTTACATGTAATAAAGCAAATAAACTAGATTTCTCCTAATCATATATTAATATAATAATATAATAATATAATATAATATAATAATATAAGAAATTGTCAAAACTAGTAAGACACCTTAACTTTTCAACCCAACCCGTTTCTGTTGCAAATTATGATTATTTTGTAAGCATTGTTTTAGTATTTTATTAGGTATCAGCGCCATCTAATGATAGACCTTGAAGCCAATACAAAACTTGATTCCGAAGTTTCTTGGTTGTGTATGAAGAATATAGCGAACCATACGATTTTATTACTTTCCATTTCAGTATTTTTGTCTGACTGCATTGTAGGAACTTTATGTCAAACTCCAAAAGCAATTTCGCTAGAGTTCTGTAATTTGAACATTGGATATACGAGCAAATTTTAGCTCTCGATCCTAGAAATCGTTTAAAAATTTTAATTAATCCGTTCGGGAGAGATGTTTGAAAAATATTTTCATGTTTTCCGCTCCGATTTAAAATTAGCCATTGTTTATAAATAAAACTACAGACGAGTCTGTTTAAATTAAATAAAGTACAATAATATCTTAATGTGATTTTTAGGTTTATTTAGTTATTATTTTTGAAACTTTCATTCATATAGACCCTGGTTTTATCGTAATTTATTTATTGATGGGGAGAAGCTACCAACGACATGCGCAGACATTTCTATACATGGGTAACTCTCATTCCGTATGATGTACTCTACATTTCCATTAAGTTTGTCACCACTGCATACCCTCCAACTTATGAGGATTTTAAAAATAATTCTTTCTAGTGGTAGCGATTCAGAGTAGAAATTTTTAAAGCAAATGGATCTCTCATAAAACTTTTATCAGAACTTAAGAATCTAGCCATATGGCATGCACTTTTATAAGTAATAGTGGACAAGTTACGCCTAAATTAATTTTTTTTAAATATTAAGACATTAATTTTGCTACCGTCTGAAAAGTAGATTTCTGAAACTACGAAAATTCCGTAGTAGTTGGAGGATATGCCACTGTGTTAAATCACTCTCTATATTATTTTGGTAAATTAATAATTATTTTATGTCAGTAATAATTTAAATTTGAAACTTATTCTGCTTTATACGGTCACTGGCCAAATTATTAGACGCGCTCTAAAATTCTATGTAAAATACTAGTAATCAGGTGATACTATACAGCTCTGAGGTTTTTACGCGACTGAAACCGGTTTGCACTGCTTACGTTCGTGTATCAATTGCTTAACATAATAATGCAATGCGTTAAAAATAAATACAAAGATGAAGTATATAAAAGAAATCTCCAGAATAAAAATCCATTACATTTATGTTTAAATTTTAAACTATTGCATACAAACGCGTGCAAATCATGCAATTTTTAAAACGCTGCATTGAGTCTAAAAATTTGGTCTAATTAATTATAATATACTAATATAATACCTGATATAATAACTATTTTATATTTATATAATATATCACCTGATTTATCCAATCGCCGAATTTATATTATATATCGTCCAATTTAACCAATTGATCCACGAACGTAAGCAAGTGCAAACCGGTTTCAGTCGCGTGAAAGCAATAAAGCTGTATAGTATCACCTGATAATTAAGATTTTACAGGGAATCTTATCCTGTGTCTAATAAGTAGTTTTTAAGAAACCAACTTAAATGTATCAAAGTATATTTTTACCAACAAGATCAACTAATGTTTTATTTTTTCTAGGCATGTTTCTCTTTTGTTGGGTGCCCTTTTTCTCTTGCAATGTGCTGGATGCTATTTGTATCAAGTTAGAAAACGACGACTGGAGGCCTGGAATGGCCATGTTTCTTGTAACAACATGGCTGGGGTACATTAACAGCTGCGTCAATCCGGTCATTTATACTATTTTTAACTTGGAGTTTCGAAAAGCGTTCAAAAAACTGTTGGTGGATTACTGGTGGTGCTAGCATCACGTGTTTCGACGAAGAAAAGAAATCTCATCCCAATAAAGAGAACTGATTATTTATTTTAATGAAACTAAATGCTCATGTATTTTCAAAATTGTCTATCATTACTAAAAAAAAGTGTTTATGTTTTGTGTATTTGAATAAATGTATGATATGTATTTGGTTTTGTTTAGTCTTATATATTTTAGTGTTTTTTTTTAGGAATGAAAGTAATAAAGTGAATAGCTGTTTCTAAGAGGAAAATAGTTAAAAAGAAAAAAAAAATAGAAGCGCTATTTTGAAAGAGAGTCATGGAAATTATGCTAATCTATCAGATAACAAACAATGTATATTTTTTCCACTTTGAACAATACAGCACGCCTCCTATTCAACAACACTGGATAACACTAATTCTACTAAGATGACCACCAAATCTACTAAAATGAACACTAAATCTACTAAAATGACCACTAAATCTACTAAAATGACCACTAAGTCTACTAAAATGACCTAACTGAACGCCAAAAAGAACTTCGATCGCTTGCAGAATCGAATCTAACCCAGGAATGTGCTTAATTGCATTCCAGACAGTCTAGACATGATATACAGGATAAATAAAACAATAAAAGTAAATAAACCACTTTTAAGAGTACTTCGCTTCAAAATAATTTTATAATTCATTTTGAGAGTATGAAATTTACTAAATTATTCTACAATTATTATAAAATTAAATTACTGTAGAATAACCGAGATAGGAAAATGTTAAAATTTCTACAAAGCGTATCTTTCAACCGTATACATGATATGTCTAATAACCAAAATAAAAATATGTTTCAAGTTCTCAAAAATAGGTGTCCATTATCAGGACTTGCCAGACTTGAATGAAAAGAAACAAAAGTGATTTGAAATGCAAAACGCAAAGTTGCCAACGAAAAAATTAAAAATAAACAAAGCTAGAAAAACCACTGTAGTCGAGAGAGAGAAAGTATAAATCATAGAACAAAAATAAAGTCTCAGTAGCCGAGAGGGACAAAATAGAGTAAAATGTATGCCCACGCTCTGTGAACCGAAGGGGAGAAAAAGAATGCGGTAAACAAAAGCATTAAATTTCATGTAAATAAATCAAAATTACAGAGCATCAAGATTAGTTTGATGTGACTGGGCTGGAAATAATTTTGGCATTGTCTACATTGGATTTATGATACATGATTCCAATGTGCAGCAATTGATGATTTCTCCTATTCTTGATAACGGTCATATGTATCGCGTTACTTAAGAAATTTAAAAGTGTGTCCAGTTTGTCCGATGTAGCCAAGATCGCATTGACAAGGAATGCGATAAATGCCGGAGCGATTATCAAAATTAATAGTACAGTACTAATAATTATGATTAGATGTAATGTCAACAAGCTGTTCTTTAAAATTATTATCAGTTGAAGCAAAACTCCGTAAAACTCGTTGAAGTCAGCAAAAACTTAACAAAATCTTCAACTCATTTGTTTCATCAGAAAATAAAGCTAACATTTATTACGAGGTAAGGTGATGCAGTAAGGAAGAGGGGTAAGTTAAGTTTAAAGAAAGAAACATTGAATATATAAGCTTCGGGGACTTGCTGTTTTCGATATTCACATCTAGAAACCAGTTCAGTTTATTCTATTTCTCTTCAAATATAGTTTTCTTAACTTACATAGTTACAAGTTCAAACTATTTATTCAATTACATTTTATTAAGCTGAGTTAGTTTGCCTGTAAAGTTCAATGACATAGACGCTGAGAGCTTGAAATGCTAGGACAATGCTTCAAGCTTGAAACCTGAACAGGAGTGAACGGTAGAATTCTAATTGTAGTCTTATTTTGCTAAAGAATGCCATTCTTGGCGAAGATTCTTTTCAATAACAATAAATGAAAAGTGGCCAAACTCCAGTTTTTTGATAAATAAGACTGAACCATAATTTCTTCCAATAGTCCTAATAATTGGAAATGTCAGAACTAGAATTATATGAGTAAAATGACATTTCTAATTTGTTCCAAATAAAACAATTCGGTAATTTTAATATAACTTTTTCGGAGTTGAATCATGCTCATTGATGTTAATGTTATTAGTAAGAGCTAAGCCTAAACTAGGTGTGATATAGCGAATTCGGCTGACTTTAATTCGATTTCTCAAGTTGTGAAATATAAGCAATCCAGTAATATGTACAAATAAGTGGGCAGGAACCGAAATCAGTAATGCTACGCCTAAGTTCCCTTGTCTTCTGGATTGGGTTCAAAATTACAAGGTTACTGAGTTAAACATTAGTAGTCGTAAACCCAAAAATTGGGTCAGCTATTCAACTTTATAAAATATTACGTTTAACATCGAATATATGTATTTTATTTTATAACCGGTATTAAACAACCTTCCTAAGTCTGAGTTTTCGACTATTACTGTTCATCTCCAATGCTTTGTAATTTTTAACCCGACCCAGAAGACAAGCAAGTATTTTGACAAACTAGTCTTCGTGTAGGACTTTTTAAGGGAACTAATCTTCATTCGCGTTACACGGAAAAGTAACCATTAAATCTCAACCCGCCGGCCGGGGTATTCTAACCCATGATCTGTCAACCACTGAGGATACTGTACTTCGGCACTATGGCTGGAGTGAGCTGAGAGCAGAACAAGTATATCAACCAGCGACCGCTGGAAATCGAACCTGGGTCACCTCACTGCGAGGCACACCCTATATCCTCTGAGCTGCCACGGCTGTAATATATGTATTTTATTTCATAGCCAGCGTTGAGCAGCCATCCTAATTCTGAACTTACAACTTTCAATTTTCAACTTTGTTGACATGTACTTTTGAGCCCAGCCCAGAAATACAATGGGAACTATTGGGTCAAGCATTAGAATTAGTCTTCGAGTATTAGCTAGGTCAAGTATTAGTCTTCGAGGAGAAGTTTCTGGTGAAACTAACCCGCATTTGCGTTAGAGAGGGAAACCTCTCACGGTTATCCTGACAGCCAGAGGATTAAAACCAATGATCCGACTTCCACCGAGGGTATTTAACATCAGCACTATGATTTGCGCGAGCAAGGAGCAGAATTCCATAGAACCAGCCGTTGCTGGGATTCGAACCTGGGTCACCTCATTGGAAGACAAATGTCCTCTCTCCCAATTTATCTCAGCTCAATTATTTATTTTTCGTATCTTATTCTATTTCCGTATTTTATTTTATTTTATATCCGTCGTTGAACAGATGACTCAATTTTTTTGCTCACGACTACCACTTTTCAACTCAGTAGCCTTGTAATTTTGAACCCAACACAGAAAACAAGGGAACACGTCACATATATGTCTAAAATATATATTGTGTTAGAAAATCAATTAAATTTATTTTAATATACTAAATACTCAATTCTGTTTATGAGATTTTTGAACACAAGTTTAATGTAACACTCTTCTAACTACACAACTAATGACTACGATAACATGCCATGACTACATACTGTTCATTAAAATTAACTTTAGTTCAATCAGAACTCTGCAGTACGCTATAAAGTTAGTAGAATTCGCGAAAACTTTACTAAGTGAATCGTTTGATCAGAAATCAATGCTAGTAATTTATTAAGAGATTTCTGGGAAGGTAAATTTAAAGAACGAATAATTGAATACAAGCTTTTGGGGACATTGATGTTTCAGATAGTCGTATTTGGAGACTGGTTCAATTTAATTTATTCCTCATCGAATACTGTTATCTTAGCATTTAGTTAAAATTACATTTCCGATCTTTTAAAGCGCAGTACTAATGATTTTTCGCTTTGTTGTTTAAAAGATTGATTACAAAGCACTACACTTTTGTATAGTTCGCTTAATATTTCTAACCAGAGATTGGTTAATAGTTTTAGCTTTGTGAAAATTAATATTGCAATAGTTTTGCATTAAATTACGGGCATACATTTACAAACAAAAATTCTAAGAAAGCGGAAATGTTTTAAGAAAATTCTTTTTTTTTTTTTGAGGAAAAGCCGAAATTTCTTTACAAGTGTTGAATAGCGTTTTCATCGATCTAATTATTTGAGATTCCTGTTGTTTAAATAAGTGTTTTATTTTAAATTTACTAAATTTTTAGCGGTATTTTATGATTTACAATTTAAAAATAAGATATTTATTCGATTTCTACACTGTAAAAGTTTTGGTGTATCTTAACCTCAAAAATGGGAGCAACACCAAAATGGTGTTCCACTAAACTATTCACTCATGACTTTTATAGTACTGTGAAACTCTTAAAATGTTTCTTTTTCATGACTTGGTACAAAATAGTCGCCACCAGTCACTCTGTTAGGTATTTAGTAACACTAAAATTCATACATTATGATGTGGTGCACATAAGAATAAATAATATTATTTTTGCGAGACAATACAAGGTGAGAATCGGAAATTTTAAAAGTTGCATGCATGCACTAATTTTTAAAATATAATTAATTTGTGAATCAAACATACGCTTAGCACAAAGAGAATATTAAGACAAATTTGAACTAGGCTTAGGAAATCGAAATCGGATATAAATTATGCATTATAAAATTATTTAAAACAGTTCACAGAGACTTATAATTTAAAACATAAATATCCTTTTTGCACAACTAAAAACATAAATACTTATTGTTAAAGACGAAATTTAAGTTTATACTGATGAAAAGTATAGTTTTTTCACCAGGAGTTGGTACTTGGCTCCGCCATCATCACGTGGTATCCAGGGATACTGTTTCTCTATTTTTGGGAGAAGGATGTGAACATTCCTGAAGAAGGCTGTTTTTTGGCAATCGAATGATAAAAATATTTATTTCGCAATCGTTATGTGCATTTTTTTAACATTAAATGTTTTATAAATTTGATGGCATTTCTCTCTTCTGAGGGAGTAGTTTGTCCTTTTTGAGACATTTTGCTGGAAAACAGCGATTTTTAAATTTAAAATTTATTTAATTAGCTATGGTAACAAAAACTATTATAGCAGATGACAAAGCGAAGTAAGTGGCTGAAAAAGAATTCTCTGTTTGCGTTTGGCACGCATTAGGGGTTGTCTAAATTTCAAATACGGAGATGTTTCCCCTCTAACTCCCGCACTGAAATGTACTCTGCGTTCGAGG